AGATATGGAACAGAGGAGGACACCGAAGGCAACAGCCACCAAGCCCAAATAATTAACCGAGCCTGGGAAATAATTAGAAAATAAACTTTACGCCACTAAGATAAGATTGGGTTGTTGTGAAGCAAAAACAAGACTTTTCTCACTTCCTTACTGAGAGAACAAGTGAGGATTTTGCCAGTGAAGTAAGGATCACTGATGTACGTACTGTATAATCATGACCACACTGCATGCTATCGAGGCAGAGCCTTGCTTTTTCACCTATCTTCCAAATTGTAATCGGCAGTAATCAGGATCTTGTGTTCTTGCATGGCAGCGAGGGAGAGGACAGCACTAGTGTATGTGGCTGAACTTATCAGCCACGGATTAGCACAGAAGCCCAGCTTATGTTCAGGAGGCCTTCACACACTTTTTCTTATGAGTATGAAAGTGCAATCTAAAGTAATGCAGCTCTAAGTGATAACTCCATACTGTTGGCAATTAGCAAGCATTTAGCTAACTTCGTCGAAATAGTTTTCCCACTTTTGGAAATGAGGCATTTTGATAAAAATAAAAATTTTCAGTAGATGGGTTAGAAGATCACTTGAAAAATTAAAACAAGAGAGAGAGAGAGAGAGAGAGAGAGAGAGAGAGAGAAAGAGAGAGAAATGATTACAGAAGAATGCTGTAATCAAACATCTTACAAACTAGAAAACCAAAACAAGAGAAAAACAAAGGGGAAGAAATTATCAAAGAAAAAAACAAAAAGAATTTCTACAATTGAAATGATTCACACTGAATGTACCAGAAGCCAAGGACAATGAACCAAAAAGATCCACACCAAGGTATACATGCCAAAATGTCAAAATACCAAAGAAGAATACCTCACAAGATATCAGAGAGAATTATAAAAACCAGAGACACATTTAAAGGCAAAACACACAGAGTGTCTTTACAAGTCTCAACGAAAATGGGTTTTTGTTCTTGAAAATTATACCCAGCCAAACTAGTGAATAAACATGAGGCTAGAATAAAGACGTTTCTAGCAACATCTCAAAAAACTAACTTTTTTCTGGAAGGTTCCACACGCTGTTGCCTTGTCTTTACTTCCCCTGGCCTTTACACACATCGAATCCTAGGGCCTGAGTGGCTTTTCCTTCTGTTCCACTCCTCACTTCCTACTTGAGCAGCTAGACTCCATCTGTCAATCCTAAAAGGTCGAGTTTTAAAGCACCACCTCTTTCATGATTGCTTTTCTGCTCCAGCCAGCAGAACATACAGTCTTTTTCTCTAGATGTTCATAAACATCTCAGCCACTTCAAGTTACTTCTACTGTACCTTACATGACCATGGCTTTTCGCTTAAACAAAGCACAGAAGCTTCCTGTAGGCAAAAGATGTGTCCATTTCTCCTCCGAGGGCCTGGCTTTTCAGTCTCTCTTACACCAACTGTGCCCAGTACAGTTTCTTTCATTCCTTAGACATTCAGCCAGGAGAACAAAGAGCTCAGCATTTAATGTCAGTCCCCTCACTAAGCACAAAACATGGAACCTGTCAGAGCTCTGTTTCAGCCCCTATCACATCCAGATTTCCAAACTCACATTCGCTGCAGTTAGGGCAGGAAGCATCACTTTTGAGAAAAGGATAAAAAAGAAAATTATTACTTCCATCAAGAAAAGCTGATCACCTGGCTCAGTCACTTCACTTCTAGGTAAGTAAACATGAGAAATGAAAACATATGTTCATGAAAAGTCTGTACACAAATGTGTGTGACAACATTACTCACAACAGCTGAAAAAGTAGAAACCGCCTTAAGGTCCACCAGTTGATAAGTGTATAAACACGTGTGGAATATATACACATGCAACTTTGGGGGATTTTTTTGAGACAGGGTCTCACTATGTAGCTCAGACTGGCTTTGAACTCACAGTGTATCCCAGGCTGGCCTTGAACTTTAACAGCAATCCTCCTGCCTCAGCCTCTCAAGTGCTAGGATTACAGGTGTGTATCACCATACCCAGCCGCACAGGAGAATATTATCTAGCAATAAAATAAATTGCTGATGTATGCTGTAATATGAATGAACATTAGACATTATATAAATGAAAACAGCAGTCACAGAAGACCACCTATTGTATGACTCCTTTTATACACAATGTCCAAAATAGATAAATCTACAGACAAAGGTGACCAGTGGTTTTCAAAGGTTAAGCAGTTTGCAATAAAGGGGGAGTGGTTGCTGGTGGGTTTGGGATTCCTTTTGGGGGCAATGAAAATGTCTTAAAATTGAGTATAGTTATGATTATATAATAACTCTGAATATATTAAAAACCCCACCGAATTGTTTACTTTAAATGAGGGAATTCTATCTCAGGAAAGTTGCTTTTAAAGAAAAAATCATTGTGTGAATAAATTCAGTCTCTATATTGCTTATCTTTAAAGCACTATCAAAGACCATCCATGGAAACAGGGCAGGATTTGCAAAGCATATACAAGCTGAGCATGATCAGCACACAAATTTGGGATCAGAAAGTACAAAGTCACAAAACAAGGTTATACCAGTTGATCTCTATTGGCCTCAAAAGTATTATAAAGTTTGTGCATTGTGCAGTGTTTAAGAGAAGCCACAATCAACTGGGTGAGCCCTGGGTGTATAGGCAGCTCTGGGTCTCATTATATAACCTTTTGTAGGTTGCTTAGTTTCCAAAGGTGGTGTCTCTAGTCCTCCTGCTTGCCAATGACCGGATTTCAAAGAGGTCTGATTTAGGCAGTCAGTGGATAACACAGTTCATCTCTACGTAGGCCCAGGCTCTGAAAACCCAGCTGAGGTTTCTTACATAAAGTTAAGACTTGGAATCTACAATGCAAGTACAAACACCAATCTGTAGAGCCTGTTTATGTGAGAGACATAACAAAATAAATATGGAGGACATTAGATTCTCCCAAAGCAGACCATGCAAAATACTGAGACTAAAGTTACATAATAAATTCATATATTTTAATCATTAAAGCTTCATTTTGAAATGAGTTCCACAAAGGCAAGAGGATGTATCTACAGGAAAGAACAGATCCAAACAACCTAATGAACACTTAGACACCTACAAGAGTTCTTTTACCATCTTTCTTCAAGGCTATTGGGATTAATAAACTCGACCTACTAAACTGTGATTTTTAACAAAGTTAACTTAAATCCTGGTCCTCTTATCTTCTCTCAGAGCCTGTTTAAATTCTCAGCCAAGAGCAACTCAATTACATCAAAGGTTTAAGATACTGAACTAATTCTAAAGAAGAATGGATGTCAAAGAATTACTTTGACTAACAACATTTCATTTTTTTTTTTGGCCTTCATTTTAAATTCTCTTCTTTTTCTCCCATCCTCCACATCATTTGTACCTAGACACTTTTTCAGCAGCGTGACAAGTGACACGAACCTGGCTCGATTTAGGTTCAATATTTTGATTCATGCTAGGTTGAAGCATTTAAAAGTTCTCTGAAGCTGTACCACTTAACTGAAGATTTCTAGCATGCAGTCACGGACACAAACGCCCCACTAAGATAGTTCAAGATTATGAAAACCCAACCTACATCGCACTGGGTCACGTGATCGAGTATGAATCCGAGAAACCGTTTAATTTGGGTTTGTGAAATTTACACAAATAAACGAGCTGGAAATGGAACAGTCTTATTTTTACCCCTTGATTTTTCTTTACACCCAGGTACAAAATATAGGATGTAGAATTTGGATTTTCACCTGTATCAGCTGCAGTGCCAACACGCAGGAAGTCACCAAATGTTCGTTACTGAATGTGGCGTTATTTCACTTCCACTCCTAGCGTTTCAATGGCTAATTTTGGTCGAGCAGATTGGCTGATGGCTACCGGGCCACACCTTGCTTTATCAGTTTTCCACTGTCACAAAACCCTCCTCACCTCAGCTATGCATGTGGCTGCCTCACAGTGAAGACCGTCAGGCCGACAGATGATTTCAATGCCAGCCAAGGAGAGAAGATTATATTGATACACAGAAACGCTGCTTCGTAGAAGTCAGGGGCTCCTGGCAGCTACTTAATCAACTACTATGGCAGCTGTGTGAGCTCATGGCCGTGAGGCTGGCCATGCATTCAAACCAGAACCTCCACTATTCCCACACTCGCACACAGATTTTACTCACCTGAGAGTTGAGGATGCTCTGAGATGTGTTGCAACACTACCCTAATTTTCCTAGCAAGATCAAAATACAGCTCTTTTCAAAACCTTAATCTTTTTTTTTCCCCCAAAAGAAAACCAACGACTGAGTTAAAATATGTTTACTCAGAAGCTACAGAGAATCCCACAAACTAAAGTACCTTAAACTTGGGACAACAATCTCTGCTATACAAGTAGCTGTTATTCAAATGCACAGGGGAAGGAAAACCAACCCAACAATTGAAACCATCATTTCATAGTGAAACGAAGTGCAGCTTGAGATAAATCCACATCTGATTTATGTTTCACATCAGATTTCCACTTTATACAGACATGTACAAGCTTTGCTATACCGGATGAAGAAAATGTTCTGGGGGAGGAACTGTTTTAATCAAAATGCTTTGTTGCTTTTTTTTCCCCCAAAAGCATAACACAGTCCATTTTTAAATATAAAAATCTATGGAGTAGATGTGGGGGAAAGATTGCTCAAGACAGAAAACAAAGATTAGCTTGAACAAAGTTTTGTTTTTTTTCTTTTTATCAGAGATGGGTTTCCTGGGGAAAAAGTAAAACGCTCTGATACATGATGTAGTTTCTCTTCTTTCTATACTGAGATTATTTTTTTCGCCGTGTGTCTAAATAAACTACCCACCCACGGAAACAGGTTGTTGCATCGATTATACAACAGTAGAAACCATATTTTACGGATGACTCTTCCTTTTTCTCCCCAAAGAAAAAAAAAAACACAGTCCCCGAATTGTAGTCCGGCAACCCCACACATTGGGGCACCGGCAGACCAAAACTTGGAGAGCAAGCTTCCAGCGAGGAAGAAGGGGTTTACCTTTGCTTTTTCCAGCTGGGCCTGGGCCTGCCGTTCAGCCTCCCTGCGCACTGCCTCGCGGTCTTCCTCCAGAGACACATCGGAATCAGACGGACGGCTGGTGTAGGAGTCGGCCGAACCCTGGAGAGAAAAATGGCTATTTTTAAAACGGATGCGATCTAGGAGGTTTGCGCCAGGAAAGTCTCAAGTGGCAGCGTGCTTCCTGGATTGTGTTATACATTCCTGAAAAGCGGGGAAGAGGATCCGTCCCCACACGCAGTCCTACTGAGAAAAATCACGCCTGGCTTTGCAGACCGGGTCACGAGAGTACTCGTCCCGACCGAGTAACCATTCCTTCCCTACCTCGCGTTCCAGAAACGAAGCTTTCTGGGTGCCGGGACGAGCTCCCCAACAATCAACCCAGCCTGGTGGTGCAGTGCAGGGCTGCAGGCCGGGCTCCCAGGGCAGCTACAGGACCCGCCTTCAAGCTACAGCAAGTATTTGCAACCGAAAGCCAAGAAGCACAACGAAAAGCCCCGAAGTCAGTCCGAGGAGCTCTCCACTTGCACTTTCCAAAATCTCGCCTCCGTGACGACTCCCACGGTCACCCCGAGCACCTTTTTCGCCACCTGCCACCTTCTCCGACAAAACAGACACTTGCAGCTTGGTTACCTTTCCCTCCCTCCTCCAGCACCTTTCAAAATACCTTCCAGCTGACGATTCTTAGTGATAAGAGCTGGCTGCTGAGAAAACACCTGCCCGGGGTATCTCATGCAGCAATAAATCGCAACGCGAGAAAGGAGCTCAAGGGCGGGGGTGGGGGGTAGGAATCTCCCTACCTGCCTCTCTTGCCGTCGTGAAAATATTAATTAAATCAACAAGCCCTCCCTGCACTCCCTGCAACAACAAACAGCAAAGCAAACAGCGTCTCCCCACCGCCAGCCCGGCGCTTACACAGATCTCGGAATTCTTCAGCCTTCCCCCCTTGGCTCTTTTCAGCAGCCGGAACCAGGTGGCCTTCATGAGCCAGGCAGCACCTTCCTCCTCCGCAGCCGCAGCCCCGGGCGCCGAAGAGTCTCAGTGCGCGCCGAGCCCTGGGAAATCCCGGCTCCTTTCCTCTCCATACTCCAGGCGAGCCCCTCTCCGCCGTCCCTTTCGGCCACGCAGCCTCTCACGCCTCGCCCCAGCCGGCTCCCAGCCCAGGAGAGTCGGATTCTCCCATTCCAAGGGTGGAATCGCGCACTCCCCAGCTTTCTGCCGCTTTCCAAATAACACTTCAAGTGCATTCAAAGGCGGCAGGCAGCGGCAACTCCTTTTAAACTTAATGCACCTTATTACCCTGAATGTTCTCTTTCCTGCGCTTGAATGGTCCGAGGCAATTAGTTGTAAGAGGACCTTAAAAAGGAAAGGAAAAAAAACAAAACAAAAACAAACAAACAAAAAACAACACCCAGTGCAGAAACACCGTGTGCAGTGACATTTACAGGTGCAAAGTTCACAGCCTTATCTTTGAGATCTGTAGGGGGAGGGGACGGAGTCCCGCACTGGGCATGCTCCGTACGTAGCCTTTTCCGCAGATGCCTCACAGCACGCTGTCAGTCCGTGCCAAATGCCAGTTTACACTCAAAGTGTAAACAGCTGGAAAGGTCTGTCGCTCCTATCCTAACCGCACCTGGCAGGTTTGTTGGGTTTCTGTCTCAGATGAGCTCTCAACGAGGAAGCATGTAATCCCTTCGTTTAGTGATCCCTTTCCCTCACCTGCCCACGCTGTGAAGGCGAATCGCAGATAATAAATATTATAAGCACCATCAGACAGCAAAAATCAAACAGTGCCCATGCCATATAGGATCCTACTACTCTAGACTTTCTCCAACCAGAGGTGAAAGAGAGATCTGGCCATCAAATTAGGATCTGAAAGTAATCACAGCTCTTCAAAGCAGGGGAGTTGAGCTGAGCCAGGAGTGACTGACTCTGAAAACTGCCTCTCCAACTGAGAAACCACCATCTGAAATAAACCACCGGAATACATAATTGTGTGAATTGTTACAACGCTTAGGAAGAAATTTCCAAGCTTGGGTGCTTAATTAGGTTGTATCAAGATCCAGAGAATGCTGTAATTGAATCCAAATACTTCTTGGAGATACATGACTGGGGCTTGAGAAAGAAAGATAGTGAACCTACTAACTTCCTGTAGGGACAGAAGTACAATTTGAAAGTACAGTTTTTGTTTTGTTTTTTTTTTTTTGTACCGGGATCGAACTTGGGTCCTTGCTAGATCCCTGGCCCTTTAAAATATAGTCTTAAAGAAATGCACACTTCCAGGTTTCTTGGACAGAAATTAGAAACCAAAGTGCACGGTGATGATGGTGGGGATATTGTTTTGTTAAGCCTCAGGCAAACAAAAGAAAGGTGTTAATAAGAAAGTCTCCCCACCCCATTTTTTCCTTCACTTCCGTGCTTCGGACTTGAGGCTAATACCATGCTTCACGACCGAAATGCTAGAAAGTACGTAAAGGAGAGCCTGCAGAGTAAGAGTTGGAGATTGTACCTCGATTTACTATCAGGACACGACATTACTAAACAGATTACTTGCTCTGACCTGGACGTAAGATGTCTGGGGAATACAGATGGGTTTTGATTTCTTGTTCAGGTAAAATTTAAAAGTGACAGATGAGTCTTTCAACACAGCCACACGTGGTAGGCGATTCCTAATCTTCCTAGAGAACTTCTTAGAGCAATAGTAGCAGGATGGAAAAGGACCCAGAAGCAAAATCACACTCCATAAAAAGGCCTCAGTCCCCACAGTCACTGGATTTGGCATTTAAAACCCAATTGCCCGTGCTAAAGCCATGGGTCACACTTCAGTGAAGGCACCATTCCTGTCTTTTAAGAACCCCATAATGACAGGAAGTGAAAAATGAGAGAAATACCTCATCACGGTGTTGTGCAATCTCATTCCCTTTTAATCAAAACAAGATTGAAAAAATTAACTTGTAACTCTTACATTTTATAATCATTTTGAAACTGGTTTCCAGGTTTTAAATCATTAAACAGCTTTTTTTTCGGTTTTGTTTTGGTTTGGCTTTTGGGTGCTGAACATCGGTACCCAAATAAAAAAAAAAAAAATCTGGAAGCCAGGGATTTAGTTCAGTGGTGCTGCCCTCTGCCTCGCAAGCACAAGGTCCTGAGCTCGATCCTCGCCCCCCACCCATCACATTACCAATTTTGGGAATGATTTTTTGACTATCAGTAGCAACTCATTAACCATTGGCAATTTTATAACACGCTGTGACTATGAGATGATCTTTCCAGTAGCTTACTGAAGGAGCCAGATTACTTTCATGCTTTGTATCTGAAGCAGTTGCAAACTATTTTTCATTAAAGAAGTTATCTGTACCCACTCTCAAAGAGAGACACAAACAGCCATGCCTTTGAATTCTCCTATACAAAGATAGTCCTGTATTTTAGTCTCCAGAGTGGCTGCATTTTTGAAAGTCACCCTTGTAATGTGTACAGTTAATCTCTTTCCTCCTCCTGGGAGTGTGGATTTGTGCAGTTAGAAGTGATACATCTAATTAAGTTTTTGCCTTCGGTGCCATGTGGACTTTCTGGGTCGTGGTGCTTCAAGTAGACTTTGGTCGGGAACAGCTGGCAGTCATCTCCATGAATCCTGAGCAGGTTCATTACAATGCACCCCTGATCTATCCATTTCCACAAATGAGTTAGTTGGTCTTTTGCAGGATTTGTCCTTGTAGCAACCTCACATATGTGGCTGTCCCTACTTTGCTTTCTACGTCTGAGCCTTCACGTTGCTAATTGTACAGCTCCAAAATCAACCTGAGTGCATGCCTATCAGGAGTTCATCCCAGGATCTTCAACTTTATCCTCATAACTCTCACCCTTCTCCTTTAACATTTTTTTTTTTTGTATTTGTGAAGCTTGCATTTTTTTTATGTTGCACTCTACCATTTTAGTGAAATAGATTGCCAACACCAGTTTTCTGGAGAGTTCTTGTATTTTAAAGCCAAAAGGATATGAGCTGTAGGCCTACCTAACAGTGGCGCCTTGGGTCCAAAATTGTGTTACTCATCTTTGGCAGGAAATCTTGTTATGAAACCTAAAGCAATGATCTTGACCCAATTGATCGCAAACAGTATCCCAAGGATACTCTGATTACCGCAAAACTGTGTTCCCTCAACTTCCAGACTCCAAAACACCTCTTCATGCACAGGACCATGGGAGCCAGTGGCAATTTTGACTCCAACTGTTCTTCGCTGGACCTGCCGTGACATTCTCCTACCAAAGCGGTCAGGCCCACTTTTGTTTAGAATAGAGCAGAATGGATGAGGATGAATTAATACAGTAATGAATGTCTGAAATGTGATTTGATATCATTTGGCTAAATGTCAACATACATGGTAGCACAGATGGAAGTAATAAATCTGCACAAGGTCACTCCTGTAGGATAATTTTATAAGCTTGTATGTTAGATTCAATTTTAGCAGAGAACAGGGAAATTTATAAACTGTGTGTAGCTATGTATGCACTGATGAACAAATTACACTTTGTAATTAAAAGACTCTCCCAAACTAGAAATCACACGTATTCATCAAGTACCTGCTACTTTGAAGCTATAAATGCTACGACTGTAAGTTAAGTGGCTGTGAAAAAGACCAAGGCTCCATTCCCAGCACCGAGCTTGATATTCTAGTGAAAGAGGGTTGACTTTTTTTTTAAATTAGCAGAAAAATAATAGCTCTAAGCGATAACAGAGGCTGGGAGAATGATGGCGGGAGGGATGGCATTTTAGTAAAGGCGATGAGATGACAGTGGAAGGTGACACTAAGCTGAAACCCAGAGGACGAAAGAAAAGTTTGCCCTGGGGTATGTGGAGAAAAGAGACATCCAAGCAGAGGGAGCGGCACGTGCCCAGGCCCCAAAGATCGGAAATCCTTAGCATGACCGAGAAATCACAAATCATCTCTCTCCCTCCTTCCCTCCCTCCCTCTCTTCCTCCATACATGTATTCTATATAGCGTATATCTCTATACACATACTCTAGATATACTCTATGTCCTAATACTCTATACTCTCTCTATATGTACTCTATTTATATACTGTATATATTCATATATAGATATACTATATATAGATATGCTATCTATCTATAGATAGATATACTATGTATACTCTAATAGGCTAGCACACACAGAATATGTATGAGACTTCTGCATTTATTTTATTTATTTATTTTTGTGGTACTGGGGATTGAACTCAGGACCTTGCGCTTGCAAGGCAAGTGCGGGGGCCCCTGAGCTACATCCCCAGCCTACTTCTGCATTTATATGCCATCGTCTCACAGAAAAATTCCTTACACACGTTTGATTCTCTTCTTAATCAGGAGTGGCACTTACTTTCCTGTCGGTAAACTCCACATTATTGGAAGTATTATGTCTTCAGAGATTGAAACAAAGCTCTTGGGTTTTACTCCTTCTAAATGTAACACTGTCTCTTAGAGGCTAAGGAGTATGATCTTGAGATTGTTCTTCGTTATGTGAGTAATTAGGACAACCCACTTATCAGGATTAGGCTTTATACAGTAGTAATCGTAACTGTTAGCTTGCAATGAATGCCAGCCCTGTGCTGATTTGCAACGATTACTTAACTCTGTGGTGGCGAACTTATGGCACCTGTGCCACAGTGGGCTGTTTGTAGCGATGAAAGCTCTCAAAGGTTCGCCATCATTAACCTAATCCAATCTCTATCTTTATTTTCACTGGTAGGAAAACTGAGGGAAAACCAAGTCACCTGATTGAAGGGACATAGCTAACGAGCAATGGAGTTTGAGGTCAACTATCAGTAATTTAAATACATTTCATGCCCTGTATCACTTTGTAAACATTGGAATAAATCTCTACATGCAACTGATGTTTCTGCCAGACATATAATGGTCATACGGCATCGTGACAATTTTCAAATCATCAGCTCTTAGTTAAGCTTTGTCAACATGTACATAAGCGTGTTTCTTCCCTCCCTTCCTCTTCCCCCATTTTTAAAATTTTATCTTTTCAAAAGGCACAAGGAGGGTACAATGAGGGGCCAAGGAGACATGAATAATTATTTTGTAGACTTGGCTGCTACTCTGAAATTTTCCTCAGAGTCCTTCAGAATGGTGAGGCATTCTTTTCGTTGCTTAGCTGCCATGGAAAGTGGAGAAGTAGACTAGAAACACAAGGGATGTCAGGAAAGTAGCTATTCGAGTGTTCCTCTCTTTCCTGGAAATGAACATCTATTTGGCGAGCTGGTAGCAAGATTCCAAAGCTGCCAATCCTGCCCAAGGGGCTAGAATTCAGTCTTCTGAAGAACCTTTTACTTTGGAACCCTTGCAGGTGTTCAGCACGGAAGCCGAAGTTACTAAAAAGAACCAGACCGTAGGACTAACGCACAGAGCTCAGGCACCTCACATATTTCTAAGGATAATATATCAAAGCACTGC